TTTGCCAGCTTTGTTAGGCTCTTACTAGCCGATATACAGTGGTTTAGGCCTGCTTCCCTTGAGGTAACAGATATTCTACAGTGGATAAGAGACCACTGGCTTCAGGGGACCTTCATTAAGTTCTAGCCTCTAAAAATAACTCTGTTCTCCTTTTCCCTTCTACTCTTTTTCTACCACTGAAACCCCACTTCCTCGTTCCATGCCTTTCACTTTCTCTAATTCTTCCATGTGGCAAATAGCTGTAGCCCTGTCCCTCTTCATTTTCTTTCTCACTGTTGTCATTGCAGCCTGTAGGTTCTCTCAGCCACCCCCTCCAGGAAAAGAGCTTTTCTGCCCATGTTGAGTGTAGTTTCTTTCCATGTCCACTTCTCGCCCTTAGGCCACTGAAAAAGATGAAATATGGGTAATCAGATATCCTGCCTAGACCCCAAGTCACCACTAGGATGCCTAGACCAAAATCTACCCAAACTGGATCTTTCTATAAAAAAGAAAAGGTTACTCCTCCTCTCCTCTGTAGCCTGGCCACAGTATCCTCTAGACAACCAGTCCAAGTAGCCTCCTAGGGGCACCCTCGACTTTAATGTTTTAACAGATTTAGACAACTTTTGCCAGAGGAATGGCAAGTGGGTGGAGCTTCCCGATATTCAAGCTTTCTGGCATCTCCGTTCCCACCCCAGCCTCTGCTAATCCTGCTGTACTGCCCAAGTACTCCTGGCCAAAAACGTCCCCGCACTGCCCTCGGCCCCTTCGCCAACCTCCTCTTCTTCTTTTTCCAACCCCAATATGCCTGAGAAACTCTCCCTATCCCCCACTTGACCCTCTAATCTCCCGCCATAGGCAGACCTCCAACCCCCTCCTGCTCCTCCTCTTCCAAGTTCTGACATGGACTCTCCTGTTAGTGCTCATACTCGCTCACACAGCGCTCCCAGTGACAAAAACTCCCTCCTTTGTCCTCTCCGCAAGGTGGCCAGAGCAGAAGGTGTTGTCCGAGTACACGATCCTTTCTCCCTTACTGATCTGTCCACCACTGAAAAACACTTAGTGTCATTCTCCGCCAATCCTACTGCTTACATCAAGGAATTTTGTTATCTCATTCAGGCATATGACCTTACCTGGCATGACACTTATGTAATCCTGTCCTCTACCCTTACTCCTGATAAGTGTAACTGCATCTTTGTGGCAGCCAGGGTACACCCTGATCAGGTACATCTCACTAATCCTCAAATGCCAGTGGGTGCAGTGGCGGTCCCTGAGACTAATCCTAACTGGGACTATCAAACTGGCCAAAGTGGCCACTGCTGCCGAGACCAGATGCTGCAGTGCCTCCTAGCGGGCATGGAAAATGCAGCCCAAAAAGTAGTTAATTATGATAAACTGCGGGAAATAACTCAGGGTCCTGCTGAAAATCCAGCTGCCTTCCTAGACCGACTAACTAATGCTATGGTCCTTCACACTCGAGTAGATCCAGACTCTTTAGCTGGGGCTACCTTCCTAGAAGCCCATTTTATCTCCCAGTCAGCACCAGATATTAGAAAAAAACTAAAGAAGGCAGGGGAGGGCCCCCAAACTCCCATATGAGACCTGGTAAACCTGGCATTTAAAGTTTTTAATGGCCGAGAGGAAAAGGCTTAGGCTACCCGCCAGGCCCATTTACAGCAACAGGTAAGCTGTTGTAGCGGCTCTGAGGCCGGCAACTCACCAAGCGTTTGGTGCAAAGGGCCTATCAAAGCCCCTCCAAGAGGGTCCCTCAGGACCCTCTGGACTCACCCAGACTGCTTCAAAAGTCCCGCCCAGGTCCTGTTTCAAATGCGGCCAGGAGGGACACTGGGCCCAACAGTGCCCCTGTCCGCATCCAGCCCATGGATCCTGCTCTACCTGCAAACGGACTGGACACTGGAAGGTAGACTGCCCGTTCTGGACTGCAGGCTCACCCCCAACACCTCCATGTGAGGGGCAAGCCAGTCCAAAGGATGCAGTCCCTTCATTTAAACTCCTCGGCCTCCTGGACAACTAACGTGGCCCGGACTCAGAGACCCCTATCACCCTTGCCAAGCCCAAGGTAACGCTATAAGTAGCGGGTAAGTCCATTTACTTCTTGGAAAATACGGGGGCTACCTGTTCTATATTGCCTTCTTACTCAGGACCTGGCATACCTTCCCAGGTGTCAGTTATGGGAATTAATGGAAAGCCCTCCTGCCCCAACCAGACTCCTTCCTTAGCCTGTAACCTCAAGGGGCACCCATTCTCTCACTCCATCACCCCTCTCCCATCCAGGGGTTGTAAAACAAGCTTTTAAAACCCTACAAACTGCCTTGTCCACGGCACCCCCACTTCAATTGCCAAATCTTAACTGCCCCTTCCACTTGTTCACTAATAACAAAAAATAGCAGTCAGGGTCTTAACCCAACCTCTGGGCCCCACATATCGTCCTGCAGCCTATTTGTCCAAACAGTTTAACCCCACAGTCAGGGGGTGGCAGCCTCGCCTGCAAGCCCTAAAAGCAACAACACAATTAACCAAAAAAACCCCTAAAACTTACCTTAGGCCAGTCCATTTCAGTGCTCTCACCTCATCAGCTAACCAACCTTCACTCACACAAATCTCTCACTCTCCTAGGACCCTCTTGTCTACAAAAGTTTCATCTACTCTTTATTAAAAATCCTTCAGTCAGCCTCCATCCTACTTCTCCACTCAACCCGGCTACTCTGCTTCCTCTTCTGCTCCACTCTCCCTCCCCAGCCCATTCCTGTCCTAAGCTCATAAATACACTTACTAAACCTCGGGAGGGCTTAACTAATCTTCCTCCCAATAATGGTCGGCCTCTCCCTAGCTTCCTCTCTACCAGCTGTAGGAGTAGGGAGTGGCGCTCTAACTTACAGCATCACTTCAGCCCGTCAGCTAGAAAACAAACTCCGGGTAGCCATTAAAGCATCAGCCGCCTCTCTGGCATCCCTCCAACAACAAATCACATTACTAGCTCAGGTAACTCTCCAAAATCAGCGGGCCCTAAACGGGTTAACAGCAGAAAAAGGAAGTACCTGCTTATTTCTCCAGAAACAATGTTGTTATTACATTAATGAAACCGGTCTAGGGGAGGAAAATGTCAACACTATCATCTTCAAGAACACCTCCAAAAAAGGCAAAGCGTACCAGCCTCTTCTCTTAACTGGTGGCAGTCCCCCATACTTACCTGGCTAACCCCTATCATCACCCCCATTATCATAATTTGTCTTTTGCTAATGCTAGCCCCTTTCTTTCTCAGGTTTTTACAAGCTCGCATGAGGGAAATTTCCACGGTAGCTGTAAATCAAATGCTGCTTCACCCCTACGTCCCGACTCACAACCAAGGCACCGGCCTACTGACCCCCCCAACTCCACCTCTGTTCAGCAGGAAGTAGCCAGAAAGAAGCAGCCTCCTATATCATACAAAAGGTCGGAATGTAAGGCCGGCTGCTTCGCAGAGGGTTAAACGGACACATCCATCTCTCTCCACGCCTGATAACTGTGTCATCACCCAAGCTCGTTATCTGGCCTTGCCGCAAGGCTTCTCCATACCCGCCTCCGCATACCAGGCCCAAGCCCACATTCAGCACTAAATCATGCCTTCAACCCCCAGCCTGCTGTTGATAAACCCTGCAGGAAAATTTGGTTAAAGAAGTCCCATCAGGCCTTGCCCGGTAGCAGTCTGCTCTGTATGCCCCCGGAAGGCCCACCTACCCATAACCACTAGCTCCAGGTATTTCCTGCTTCTTAATACCCAATTAGATTGCCTTCACTTTGTTTCCCCAACAGTAAATCAAGGCCCACCTACCCAAGGTCCCGCCCGCCTACCCATGACCACTAGCTCCAGGTATTTCCTGTTTCTTAATAGCCAATAAGATTGCCTTCACTTTGTTTCCCCAACAGCCAATCAAGGCCCACTTACCCAAAGCGCCGCCCGCCTACCAATGGCAACTAGTTTCTGGTACTTCCTGCTTCCCGACAGCCAATAAAATTGCCTTTGCTTTGTTTCCCCAATAGCCAATCAATCACCTTCCCTCCCCATAAACTCCATGACCTAAACAGCTGGGCGCAACTTCTTTGGCCCCCTCCCTGGACCACAGAACCTCGCCTGGAAGGTGAATAAATTAGCTTCTCATTTTCTTATACTTGCCTCAGTTTCCTCATTTTACCTTGGCAATAAATCTTACAATCATGACGAAGTTGGTTTTATCTCAACGTAGAGTTGGTTTGATATTTGAATGAAAAATGATATAATTCACCACATTAACAAACTAAGAGAAAAACCATATGATTATCTAAAAAGACACAGAAAAAGCATTTGTCAAAATCCAATATCCATTCCTATAAAAACTCTCACCAAACTAGGAATAGAAGGGAATGTCCTCCACCTGATAAAGGGCATTTACCAAAAAAACAAAACAAACAAGAAATCTACAGTGAACATCAGTCTTCCGGGTGAAAGACTGAATGCTTTCATTTTTAAAAGATATTTGCTCTCACCATTTCTGTTCCAGTATTGAATGATGCTTCTAGCCAGTGCAGTGAGGAAAGACAAATAAAATAAAAGGCATCCAGACTGGAAAGAAAGGAGTAAAACTATCTTTACTCATGGATGCCCTATGTAGAAAATCCAACGGAATCTACAAAACAGTTACTAGAATTGCTTTACTTGAGATGTAAATACTTCTCCAAGCCTGCGGATAGGAGTGAAAGGGTCTTTACTGTATGTAATAATGCAAATTTCCACATTTCAGAATTTTCTTTTTTTTTTAAGCTGGCTCAACTGCCAAATCCCCACCAACCGTCCCCCCAACACACACACACACGCAAAGTTTTCTAGTCTTAATTTGAGCAATCTCGCCTCTCCATCGCTCTCATAGTGACAGATGCACAATGGAAGCCACTGGTCTACACAACTCAAGATCTGAAGGCAGAGGTGATACCTGCTCTCTCTTGACATCAAAGGGGTGGGAGGGAGGAAGAGGATGCTCACTCACCTGGCGCCAAGCGGTCTGGAGCATGGCTGGCATCCCAGCTTCACACACTGCCTCGAGGGTCGGAGAAGTGACAAAGAAAATAAAGAAGCGCCTGTGCGACTGATGCTGCCTCGCACCGGCAAATGAGCTCTGTGCGACTTGGGCCCCTCTCCGTTCTGCCACCCCCTCACCCCAAAAGCACAAGGGTTGTTGGAAAACCAGGCAGAACCCGCCCCAGAGAAAGCAATCAGCTACCCGGCCCGAGAGGCTCTTCCGCTCGGACCGCTAACCCCACGCGGTGCAGGCGCAGAGAAAGCGTGGGAACGCCACCTGCCGCCGGCCCCGGGGGAGCCTGGGGCCTTCCGCCGGAAGTGCGTTTTCCATACCCCTCCTCTCTAGGAAGCTGGGAAGTTGCCGGTCTCTGTGGTTCCCTACCGTAGCCTCCACTGCCAGAGTCCCTGCTTCCAGACAACACGGGGCAGAGTGGGCGGTCCCGGGCAGGGGTCCTGCAGCGCCCACTCCTGGTAGCTCCTTTGGGGCATGACGTCCGGCCAGCTCAGGCCACAGAATGGTTACTATCCTGGGTATTATTCATGGTTGTCTGGCATTTGCCACTCTAAGGGACCACTGCTCCCTCCACGTGCGCCAGAGCTGTCTGGATTCTGTGGCTGCGCTACAGTGGGAAGAGCGAGCGTGGGAAAAGTCGGGCCCATCACTCAGAAGGCCCAATGTGTAGGGACTACTAGGTCCAGAAATCTGGCTGCAAGTTTCTTTGCCCCCGTTTCCTTGTCTGTTAAATGGGTATGAGGGTGGTACCAACCACAAATGGCTGTTCAGGTTTCATTCATTAAATGAGTTAACTGATAGGCAAATTATTTACAGTTGTGCCTGGCACATAAGAAGTGCTGGTGAGATCGTATTGTTTCGTTTTCCAATTGTGTTATTTGCTTTTGAACACACAAAATAGGTGCTGCTGGGACTCCAGAATGTGGCATGCTTCAGGGAAATAGCTTTTTTGTTTTACTAGAGCATTTTTGAAGTTTAGGGAAAGAGCTATTAACATTTGGCCTTAGAGCCCTTTCCTGCCCTATACTCGGATGTGTGTCCTGGCCCAGCCTGGAGACAGATTTTAGTTATTCCTTCTGCCGGAATTAGATTTATCCACCAGCTGCAACACAAGTCCTGCCATGGAGAGTATATTACGTATCTACTGCTGCATAATAAACCACTCTAGTACTTTCTGGCTAAAAATAATAAACATGTTTATCTTTCACAGTTTCCATGGACACAGAATTGGAGAGCGGCTTGGCTGGGTGCGACTGGCTGAGGTCTCTGGTCAGTCAAGTGTCATGTGCAGCTGAAGTCATCTGAAGCTTCACTGAGTTCACAAGATCCACCTCCAAGGTGGTTTACTCACATGGCTGGCGTGTTGGCACTGGGTGTGGTGCCTCGGTTCCTTCTCAGGCCAGTGCTTTCACAGCATGGCATGTAGCTTTCTCCCAAAGTGAGAAATCCAAGAGGCCAAGCCAGAGCTTTTAGGACCTAGTTTTGGAAGTCATGCCCCATCATTTCCTCAATGCTTTCTCCTCATAAATTAGTCATGATTCAGTGTGGGATGAGATGAACAAGGGCTTGAATGCCAGGATATGAGGATCATTGGGGGCTACTGTGGGGTACGTAGCACCAAGATTTTACCTGTCACAGAAACAGTTCATTTTATGAAATCCATAGTATTTTCACTGTAAAGCTTATGCACAGCAATAGTTTTAAACAATTAGATTTCCAGAAACAATGGCATGACACGGACATACATTTTACATACTGCCCCTTCATTAAACCTACTAAAATGGACATTTAACATGAACGAACATACATATGTGGGTGCACATAAACATACTTACATATACACCACAAATTCTAAACACTATTAGCCAGTGGGAAAAAAAAGCTGATAAATTGGACTTAAAAGTTAAATCTTCTGCTTTTCAGAAGATACTTTTAAGAGAATGAAAAGACAAGCCACAGACTGGGAGAAAATACTGAAAATATTTGACAAAAGACTTGTTTCCAAAATATATAAAGGACTCTCAAAATTCACTCATAAGGAAAGAAACCAATTTTTAAAAATAGGCAAAAGATTTGAAAAGCTACTTCACCAAAGAAGATATATGGAAATCAATTAAATATTTGAAAAGATGCTCAACATCGTTAGTCACTAGAGAAATGCAAATTAATACAATGAAACAGTATTACACACTTATTAGAATAGTTAAAAGTAGAGAAAACATCAAGTACAGGCAAAGATGTAATCAGAAGTAGAACTCATACAACACTGATGGAAAGGTGCAATGGCACAGTCTCTGAACACACTCAGCAGATTCTTTAAAACTTAAACATATACCTGCCTTATTATCTAGCCATTTCACTCTTATTTACCCAAGAGAAATCAAAACATATGTCCTTACATCACAAAGACTTGCACGCAAAGTTTCATAAGAGCTTTATTTGTAACAGCCAAAAACTAGAAACAACTCAAATGGCCATCAGCTGGTGAATGGATAAATAAATTGTAGTATATACATACAGTGGAATACTACTGAGTAATAAAAAAGGAATGAATTACTGATATATATGCAACATCAGTGAATCTTAAAATAATTCTGTTGAGTGGAAGACATCACACCAAAAAAATAAATAACTTTTAAAAGAGTACATACTGTGTTATAGCACTTACATAAAATTCTAGAAAAAGAAAACTATAGTACAAAAAACAAGTGGTTTTTTGGGGCTGGGGGCAGGAAAAGAGCAGGCTGCGATGGAGAGATTATAAAAGGGCATAAGGAACTTTTTGGGGTGTGATTATGTTTGTTATCTTGATTGTGTTATTGTTTGACAGGTGTATACATATGGCAAAACTTATCAAATTATACACTTTATGCATGGTTTATCATATGTCAGTGACACCTCAATTAAAAAAAAATACATACTAGAAAGACAACATAATCCTAAAATGGTTGTGTCCTTAAATCTAACCCTTGTTCTAATCCTGATGGGACAAACTTGAAGGAAAAGCCATTCATCAGGGAGGAGAATCTGCAGCCTGAAAGTGCTCACTAAATTTGAGGAAATATTAATGGGGAAGAACCAGCAACAAGACATAGCCTAGTGAAATTACTAAACTTGAAGATTTAAAGTTCTGCAAATTTCCAGACTAAAAAGGAAGCAAAATCAGGTTGCCTCAAACTTCTTCTTGGCAACATTAGATGCCAAGACACACACATGGACCCGGGTCTGGAGTAATGCTTCTCAAACCTTAGTGTGCCCACAAAGTCACCTGGTGGCATTGTCAAAGAGTAGAGTTTCATTTCCATGAGATTGTAGTTCTGATAATCTCCCAGGTGATGCCAATGCTGCCAGTCTTCAGGTGACAATTTGAGTAGCAAAGCTCTAAAAAAGTGGTTCTTTGGCTGGGTGCAGTGGCTCACACCTGTAATCCCAGCACTCTGGAAGGCTGAGGCAGGTGGATCACCTGAGGTCAGGAGTTCGAGACCAGCCTAGCCAACATGGTGAAACCCTGTCTCTACTAAAAATACAAAAAAATTTATCTGGGCATGGTGGTGCGTGCCTGTGATCCCAGCGAGGCAGGAAAATTGCTTGAACCTGGGAGGCAGAGGTTGCATTGAGCTGAGATCGCATCACTGCACTCCAGCCTGGATGACAGAGCAAGACTCCATCTCAAAAAAAAAAAAAAAAAAAAAAGTGGTTCTTTGTAGAACCGTCTTATAATTAGGGAGTTAAAAAAACTAGTGATACCTGGGACCTACTCCCAGAGGTTCTGAAGTAATTGGTCTAGGATTCAGCTAGGCATTGGTATTAAAAAACAAAAACAAAAACACAACACCCCAGGTGGTTCTAACGAGCAGTTGGGTTAAGAGCCTCTGGTATGGAGTGTGGAGGGAAATTAACTTAGTCTAAGAAGTGTATGCCCAACATGGTATATTCTTTGTAGAGTATCTATCAGTACACAACAGCCCCTTTGACTGCCCTCCTCACCAACAGCGGTGAGTCCCACATAGCCACGTAAATACCGTGTAATCCTGCTCCCCTGCCCATAGTTGAATTAATCAAGAATGAATATATGATCTGAATGGGACCAGACCACACTCTCTCCTTGTAATTCGGAGCTGGGACAAAGAACAGTCATTCCTTAGCAGGGTCTAACTGTGGACAGCCCTACTCTTGAACAAGTGTCATTTTTTTGTTGAGACAGAGTCTCACTTTGTCACCCAGGCTGGAGTGCAATGGTGTGGTCTTGGCTCACTGCAATCTCCACCTTTGGGTTCAAGCGATTCTCCTGCTTCAGCCTCTGGAGCAGCTGGGGACAGGCACCCACTACCACACCTGGCTAATTTTTGTATTTTTAGTAGAGATGGGGTTTCGTCATGTTGGCCAGCCTGGTCTTGAACTCCTGACCTCAAGTGATCCACTCGCCTCAGCCTCCCAAAGTGCTGCGATTACAGGCATGAGCCACTGTGCCCAGCCTTGAACAAGTGACTTCGGAATGTTTGTTTATGGTACAGAACGAATCAGAATACAGTCATGGCAATCTTGGAGCTTAAGATTTTTCCACACTTCATCCATTTATACACCTGCCTCACCATGAAGTTTTCTAATGCTGAAGAAGGTGAGGGTTCTGGCCAGGCGGGGTGTTTCACAGCTGTAATCCCAGCACTTTGGGAGGCAGAGCCAGGCCAATTCCTTGAGGCCAGGAGTTCAAGACAAGCCTGGCCAACATGCCGAAAACCCGTCTCTACTAAAATTACGAAAATTAGCCAGGCATGATGGCATGTGCCTGTAATTCCAGCCAGCTGGGAAGCTGAGGCAGAAGAATCACTTGAACTATGGAGGCAGAGGTTGCAGTGAGCCAAGACTGCACCACTGTACTTCAGCCTGGGCGACTGAATGAGACTCCATCTCAAAAACCAAAAAAAGAAGGTGGGTGTTCTGATTAAAAGCTTGTCCACCTCCTATATGAGTATGGTTTCTCCCATATTCTCTGATGTTGGTGAAGGACTGCCCTTAGTTTGAAACATCTGCTACACTCACCACATTCATTAGACATCTGGTCTACATGAACTCTCAGATTTCTAACAAGATGCCGGCTGTCACTAATGATCTTACCTAATTTCTTACACTTCTCTTCCTGACAGTGGAGGGACCTATGTTGCCTGACTGATACATCTATGAGGCCTCTCTTCTTTTGTGTTTTTCTTCCCTGTGCAATGACCCTGCTGCCACTCAAAGCTGCCCTGTGGTTAGGATGCCAGGCTGCACCCGTTGTTGATGGCAGTCCTTGGGGTTCTATTTCTTCAGAAGTTGGCAATTGTGGAGTTAGTTTCTTAATGACAGTTCTAGTCTTACATGTTGATATAACAAAAAGAAAAGAAAAGGCCAGACATGGTGGCTTGCACCTGTAATCCCAGCACTTTGGGAGGCCGAGGTGGGCAGATCACTTGAGGTCAGGAGTTTGAGATCAGCCTGGCCAACATGGCAAAACCCTGTCT